GCTGATTTTCCAAAAGACACACGAACCATAACATGTCAATGCAAAGTGTGGGGTGTCCGTGCCGTTCGAACGGAAAAAATAATAATCGAAAAAGCATGTAAGTCTTAAAGCTGTTTCTTGAACCAAAACTGATGACGTTACTACCAAAGGTCTTCTAACGTTGCTGTTGCCCCTCCTCCCCTCCCACTTTGCTGATTTTCAAACCCCCCTCCCCGTTTAAGTCTGACTCATTTTCTCTCATTTTATATATCCCTTAAAAAGGCTTTCCTAAAGTTTCTCGAAGTGATTTTTTAACTAGAAGCTCGACTTGAGTTAAATCATTCTAAAATGTACCACCGTGAAGTGCACATTAGTTAAATATTAAATGCAATCAGCTACAGTCACTGAATATTGCTTTATTCTCCCTGAGGAGAGCACCAATAAAGTAAGCATTTCTAAGGTTTGAGCATCCTTGAATTTTTACCCCTATCGTTATGGTTCCCTTTTATTGTTTTTAGATCTTCGTCGTAATTTCGGCAAAGTCCCGTCGTGTCGAGTGGCATCTCTCAACTCAACAGTGGTCTTTCCATGCGCGCCTCCACTCGGATCACCTCCGGCCGAGGTCACATGGTATAAAATTGGCGAGTCATCCTCCATATTAAGAAATAAAGGGCGCAGGCGAGTACGCAAGGGACAGTTAGTAATCAAAGGTGGCCAGGTGGGGGACTCGGGCGAGTATCGGTGTGTTGCACAGAATATTGCCAGAAGACGTGAGGGCCCGGTGATTAAATTAGTTGTCGGAGGTATGTTGGTTTTTAAGGTCATTTGTTGAAAAATCAACCTACCCACTTGCTGATTTCCCTAATCAATTATTGCGTTCCTTACGGAATTAGAAAACGTCTCCAGTGCTCTTTGCAACAAAGACGAGCCGCCATGCATCAATCAGTCTTTGCCAGACTGTGAAACAAAAAGAAATGAGACATTCAAATTTGGTAAGGATTGTAAGACACTTCTTTAAAAAGTTTGAAAAAGGTGACTAATTATTCTTCCATTATTTTTATTCTCTTCCCTAATGTCTTTGGACTTCTTATTGCACTTGTTGGTTCGATATAATTTTCTATCTCAATTCTTCTTGAAATTCAGAACCAACGTTATTGGTTGGATCGCAAGATGCTTTTTTCACAGTAGATCTGTTCAACATCTCAAGTCGGAGACCCATCAAAGCTGAGAACGTCTTTTCATTTGACTTTTCTTGGGAACCTGGCCAGATTTTCTGGTCGGACAGGAAAAGCATAAAGAAGCTATCCCTACATGATGGTATAAGTAAGGACACGCCCTTTCTTTTTGATGACGGCGACTCAGTGGAGGGACTGTTTGTTCATTGGGTGGCTAAAAAGTTGTACTGGACTGATGGACAACATAATGCGATTTATGTTGGAGATCCAAAAAGCGGAGTCAAAGTCAAAGTCATCGACAATGGCCCTGATTCACCGACTTTGAAATCAGTTGTTGTTAGTCACTCGGAAAGGTGAGTATGTTAAAATCCCTGAAAGATTTTAACAACAATTGCTATTGCGGCAGCCTCCCTCTGATTAAATTACACGATTTTCCTTCGCTTATTTCGCAAGACAGCGGTTGTTTATTTATGTTTTCCTTTGGAATTTTGCGCGGGAAATTGGCGCGCGACCTGCGCATGCTCGACGTTTGACTGCTGTGTTTAATTATGCTGTATTACCTCACCTGGGAGCCTACTTAAAATTTTGTAGTTGTTGAAATTTCCTCAGTAAGTGCACACCAGAACGCATGAAAATACGATTTAAAAATGCAACTTCATTATCATTAATTTTGTCTTTTCTCTCTAAACATACGATTGTTCTTTTAAAGTTACATATATTGGACGAGCTGGGCAGCAACACCAATAATCGAGCGAGCTAGACTTGACGGTAGCGACCGGGAAGTATTTATCAACAATAGTGTATATCTTCCAAACGCCTTGGCAATTAACGAAGCAGATAAAAAACTTTACTTGGCGGGAACGGATGCGAATAACTACGGAATTATTGAAGCTGTTTCATTAGACGGGTTAAACCGCACCGTGATTTTCAACCGAACTGGATTCATCCCAACTGCTTTGGACTTTTACCAAGACTTTTTGTATTGGTCGGACTCAAAGAAGAATGCAGTACTACGCGTTTCTCACCAGGGAGGAGAGGGTACAGTTCTGATCAATGGATTGAGAAACCCAATAGGAGTAAAGATTTTCCATAACCGCAAAGAAAGTTCGGGTAAGAAATAAGAGTAGGGAAATGGAAATTGCTTTTATATACGTTATTCTTTTCTCTCCATTGCCCTTCTCTATAGTATTATCTCCATTCAAGGTAAAATACTTACATGCTTCTTGAAAAATTATTGGCAGTTTCCCTTTGCGAGAATTTTATCATTCTACTTTTCCTTTTATCGCCTAAACCCGCAGAAAATAGTGGAGATCAAATGGATAAACAATGGATTGTAAAAGAGAGAGTTCTTTTTTTGTGCAGTAAAAATTGACTGAACTGAACACCAAACAGGAATGGTTAGTTTAGGAAACATAGGTCAGTTCCATTAAGCACGATTCATCATCTTAATGTTTATCGACTGTTACCTCACAACCGTCTCTTCTGGGGAAATCGTTTAAGTTATTCTTCATCACTTCTTTAACTCTGCTTGATTTTATTTTAAAAGTCCGTGTCTCCAGGATTTTTTCTCTTTTTCAGGTTATATTTGTTATATAATTTTTTATTTCTTTAAATCCTAGCCACAGATCCATGTCTTAAAGACAATGGCCGATGTGATCAATTGTGTCTCTATCTGCCGTTCCGTGAACGACACAGATGTCTCTGTGAAGAGAACTTTTTCTTGAGTGAAAATGGAAAACATTGCAGCGAACACCGTCCCAGCGAAGGTAAAGTCTTACAGCCTGTTTTCTAGTGACTGTGTCATCAAGCACTAGCACAGCTTTAAACCATCCGACATGCGCAAAGTGATCAATTCTTTGCCACCCGCGTGCCAATTTCAAAGGATTCTAACAGCAACCTAGCTTTTACAATGTTGGCACATGCGCAGACATCTGGCTGCTGTGTTCATCGCAGTTAACCTCTCTCTGAGTGGACTGAGTCGCTGTAAGAGGAAAGTATATTGCTCAACAACTCATCATAATGACTTTGCTAGTGCAAGATGATGTTTAAAGAAGTAGTTTTACATTCTTTTGGAGTGCTTTCAATGAATATTCGATAAAATCGAAGGGTTATGACATTTTTGTAGGAGTTACCGAATCAACACCAACGCCAACCAGTGTGGCCCACTCCTTCCAGACAGGAATACTATCGAGTGTCATCTTACTACTGGTGGTAGTGGGGATAGTATACTGTGTGGTTCGCGTCATCAAAAAAGGCTGTCCGTGTCAAAGACCTCAAGACCTACCGCGCATACCCAGACAGTCGACAAATCCTGATGACAGAACTGAACAGGGTGAAGATTTACTCGAAATTACCGACCAAACTGACCTTGAAAATGCAGGCTCACAGCCACCTAAAGAGTCGTCAAATCTTATTGGTCGAGACTACAGTCGTGAGCCGTCAGGGTCAGTTGCAGCATGCGAGGATTCATCACAAACCGTAAGTAATAGTTAAAACAATCTACTTTATGCTTCTTGGTGGTTTTAAAAGTACCTACTGTAGTCAGAATTCCTTCTCTTTGCGCCTGTAGGATGAATGTAATCGGGACAAGGAGTAGGGGTGGGGTGCGGACAAAGTGAAGAGAAGAGAGCAGAAAAAGGGGGGCTTAGGGAAGACCCCATTTTCACCATTTTTGCATCTCTCGGCTTCCATAAGGCTTGTCCATCCCCTTCATTCTAACACGTTATCGTTGGCTATCTCTCTTTCCCTTTGTTTCAAATTCAGGAAATAGGGATCGAACATCCTCACTTACCTCTCGCCCCCTTCATCTGGTTTCACCAGAAATGCCACCTATACACACTCTCCCCCAATTCTAACACTCTTTTAAGCCTTTAAAGAGGCTTCTGTGTCCTCACACAGTTGTCATTCCATCAGTTGGAGCAAGCATTCTTAATTGATAGTATTCGTTTAATACACATTTATTTCATAACATATCGAGCACCTTGTGGTAATTTCCTCGTAGCTCGAGACGCGGAGAAAGGCATAAGAAGGTTATTGTGTTGAGATAAATTCTTCTTTTCTTGGGTTAAATTTTTTCTTCCTCACTCGGGGAACTAGAGAGAGGCGATGCCTACGGGTTCCTTTCACACGTATATAAAATCGACGCTCTCTTACGCGCAAAAATTATACAAAGGCAAAGGAGGTACCCATGAGTCCCTCAGGATTTCAGGACGAATGCTTTCTCTATTACCTTTGTCGACATAAACCCACACTTCGAGATCGCTCTGTCAGATCAATCATCTGATTTTCTGTCATACTGCCGATCGTTTTTCATATCTTGCTTACTTATTCGCTGTTTTGTTAACTTTTAGTCACCCAAAAGTTTGGTGGTGTACTTTGAACAACATGGTGGCGTGGCAATTCTAGGAGATGATGCCCAACTACACCATCATTCTTCTCCTCAGAGTTAACGTAACTAAAAAGTTACAAAGACATTCCATGAACTGATTGGCACATTTAAAGACTAAAGTCGCCATTTTAAGAACATGTCTGCATTTAGGTTGGAGAACTTCACTGTGAAATAACTCTGTCACATCGTTAACTATTTCTACGGTATTATTTATTTCTTCATTACCTTGTCTTGAATAGTTTGTAGCGATGATGTGTCTGCGATTCTATATACTCCTCCTTTACCTGTGAAAGATGTCTCGTTCAAAATGTTCAATAAGATCAACGTTGTACTCAGCACCAACTTTAAGACCTAAAACATGACTCAACGTGCAGGGCAATTTTCCACTGAAGATGGAAAGTAACCTGAATCGCGTTTACTTCCGTTCTACTGTCGGTGATCACTTTATGTTGCTAAAATAAATCGCGACGGTCGCTCTCGTTTTTCTCAGCCGCAAATGTTCTAGCTGTTTAAACTTTGATTTCTTGTTGACTTCGTTTGATGTTGACCATCTGTCCGCTAGATCATTCTGATTGGTCTCGGTTGTGCAACACTTGGTAGAAATGTCCTTGATCTCGTGTTTGTGAGGGCTGATCCTTGTTAGCAGTTGCAGTTTTTCTTTGGATTTTAAACCTTTTTTTCTCCAACTCTTTAATGCGACATGTTCAAATAATTTTTAATGTGAAGTGCTATTTTCAAATTGGTCGATAAACCGTGTAATAGGATATTTCTATAAATATTTTATCAATTAGGGTTATCTTCTGCTAAACGATTGTGGAGGACTTATATATGAGATTAATAGTAATCGTTTATTGGTTGTCGTGAAACACTTTTTCACAAAGAACATTGGGTGGCACACGTAAACAATAGCTCTGATCCTCTCAGTGATGGATTGTGGCAGATTCTGACCACTTTAGGAGGCTGTTGTGTCGTCTAGACTCAGTCAAGTTACTTCTTTCATTGCTATTGCTCAACTGAATTTTATTAAAGAATCAACAAGCTATATTCACAATACAGTACTAGGAATCAGTAATATAACTTTTACATAGGAATGTACTTTTACAATCATGTACCGATCGTGTCTTACAGGATATAGCGTGACTATAGTAACCCTTAGGTAACGCAATACACTACAGAGGCAGAGAAGTCACACCCTTTTCAACTAAATTAAATCAGGTGTTGTCTTTGTACCGATGTATCTAACCCGTGTAGATCTGAATTTTACTTACGGGTGTTGGAAACCTTTCTCCCCCCTTAAGCTTGGGGTGATGCTGGGTTTAACATGTCTAAGATATATGCATAGCAATTTTTTTAATACAGTACCTAGAGATTGTAAAATATTGTAATAATATAGTCAGTCATGTTTTCCCAGTTTTGTTTGGTTCCCTCTTAAGCGAGTAAGTGCCCCTCCCCACCCATGCTGGGGCTTTAGGAATGAAAGGTCTCTTATTAGATAGATTGTAGTATCTGGTATAAACAGTTAGGATACCTATATCCAGGGTTGACATTTCAGAGATCTGTTTCTTCTGGTTACTTTGTAAATAAATGGTCTGAGTTAAATGTACATAAAATATTAAAATGTAGCCATCTATAAAATGTTTAAGTATAGAATACAAGAAGTTGCAGAATTAGTGATTGTGAACTGTTCTTGAATGAAGTATAGCGCTGGCCCTGACAAGCTGAAAGGTGGGGCATGAGCCCGTGTTATCAACAACTGACCAACATGGCGTCTTGCACTGCAGCTAAAAGACGAGCATCTCGGAAAAAAACGGCAGTTAATGTCGTGCAAACAGCCCCAATATGTAAACTTCCAGCCAATATTATGTTGCATGTTTTTAAATTTCTTGATATAAAAACTCTGTGTTCGTCATCCACTGTTTGTCGCTTGTGGTATCACCTTGTTTGTGATCGAACCTTGTGGAAAATAGTCGATCTTCGTTCATGGCCGCTTTCCCTAAGGACTTTGTGGAAAATCGTCAGGAATCGATTGTCAGATTCAGTTGTGGAGCTTCTAATAAAAGGATTTATCGGAACAACGAAAAAGAATGAAAACATTTCGCCCTCTTTGCTTGAAGAGATCAAGACAAAATGTTCCAGTCTCGACACTCTTGGTTTATGCTATTGTGATATGAGAAACGTTCCTGCTCAGTGTTTACCAAGGAACCTAAAGAGTCTTCTCCTGGACCATTCCATCGTACCTCTTGGCTGGTTTGAAGGATTAAAATGTGAGCAGTTTTTTCCTAATCTCTTGGAACTTAATTTAACATATTGCACTCGAGTTGAGAACTCTGATCTACAAAGTATAAAGAAGTTGAAAACATTAGAACGTTTGAATCTCAGTTACTGCTATCGTGTTGGAGATGAAGGTATACAGCACATTGCTAGAAATCTAACCAACCTGATAGAGCTTAATCTGTCGAATTGTCCCAAAGTGACAGATTTAGGACTACACCACATTGGGCATCATTTGACAATACTAAAGAACTTAAATTTGTTGTCTGATTGGAGGATCACAGATGCGGGAATTCTTTCCCTTGTGCACAGTCTAGTAAATTTGGAATATTTGAACCTATCATCGTGTAAGGAAATAACAAGTGTTAGTCTTTTTGAAATTACTGAAAAATGTAAAAAGCTGAAGGTTTTGGATTTGACAGGTTGTTGTGCTATTTCAGAAAAGGATTTGAAGGATGCACGAATCATTTTATCAAACTGTGTCATACAGTGGACTTGACAGGTTTGTGTGAATTATTCCTGAAAATATAACTGCAAGGTGTTCTTCCACTGTTGTCGTGTTCACAGGATGGAAAGCTTGTACATTTAAATTATATCAAGCAAATACATGTACGTAAGTAGAGAATAACATCAGCATAAATTAATCACTACAAAGAGCAGGGAAGCTTCATTTGTGCCTGATCAACAACAAAAAAACTGATAAATTGGTGCAGATTTTAGCTGAGAAATACATATTTACCCAATGACAAGTCATGCAAAATTTTGCTGTAGTGGTAATTTGCACGCAATTTACCTTCTGAGACATTCAATAAATCATAGGAACTAACTCTGTATCATGCATTAGATTTTGATTTAAGTGGCCAAAACTTGGAAATGAAAACTATGGAATTTATAACATAGATAAGGAAATTAGAGAAAAGTAATAGTTACCTTTTCTGATTTACACCTCATTCTTCAATATGGTCTTGTTATCTCCCACAAGATCTTGTTGCAACAACTGCAATACATGACCATCAAGGTTTTTCTTTTTAAATTAGAAAATGAGTAAGTGGGTTGTTGTTCAAGCCAAACATTCAGTAGAATGGGAATAATAGAAAGGGAAAAAAACTTGATTGTATGTTTGTTTAAATGAAAAGGTTCTGTAAGAGTAGGGTTTTCTTTAAACCAAAACTAATTTAATAGCTGTAGGTTTCTCACTGTAAACATGTCACTGAACTTTTTGTTGAAACTGAGTTAATTACTTTGTAGTTTGTGTTAGATGTGTTAATTACCCTTAGTCAATAGTTTGGAAATTCTTGGAGTTAACCCTTTAACTCCCAGATCACATTTGTAATTCTCCTTACTGTCAACCATACAATTCTTATGATGTTAGTTCAGAGAATTTAGTATTGGATAAACTGATTATCCCCAAATTGATATTTTTCTTTATTCTCATAACTTATCTGGTTGATATTGTATTGATATTGTAAGGAGAAATTCTCTCTTGGTCACATGGGAGCTAAAGGGTTAATTGGTACTCTTCAGTTTTTTGTGTAAATGTTGTAAATGAAGACATTTTTTATGCAAATGTGAATTGTTGAGCCACAACTGCAGCCTTTGTTAACCAAATGAATAATTGACCCAATTGTTTGGTCAGTTATCACATGTCTAAAAATTTTCCATGAAACATTTTCCTTCTTGAGCCAACCAGTTTCATTTCTTTGTTTCAGCTCATAAATGGAATAAAGCTGTAAGTTAAATCTCTGGTCTTCTGCCTGTGCTTTGAAAATTGAGTTAAATTAAATCACATGAAATTGAGCCAAAAAGAGCCCTAAGGCTCTTAATGTAAAAGTTGAATTAAAGATTGAACTGCAACATTAAATTTGGTCTTAGGACATACTAAATGTTTTTCCCTCAGATTTTACATACCTTTGTGCACTGATTTTAACATAAGATCTCTGTGACAGCTAACCATAGCTTAGCATCATAGTCCTTATACAGTTCATGATCCATTTGTTGTTCTGAAGTAATATGACTGCGTCAGATTGGCTCTAGTAAACGATCTCACTTACTGAGTGTTGTACAAAACACAAGGCACTGCATGTGATGAATGGAGAGTGAAAATAGGCATCAATAGTTATGGCTGAGTTGCATTGCAGACCGGGCTCTGTTCTTTGCTTTCCAGTTACTTTGTCTCTACAGGAGTTTAAATGTTATATAATAAAGTTTGCTTTGATTCCTCAAAATATGTATGGTTTGTGAAAGGAAAAAAACTCGTCATTGAGGCAGTGTGGATGCTCTACTTATGCAGGAGTTGGAAACATACCAGACAACAAGGAAATGGGTAAGTATATCTGTAAAGAGTTCTTTATTGTCTTTGATGATGTCTTTAGTAGAAAATTAAGTTTCATTGGTTCTCTCTAATTAAAAAAAAATTCCAAAGGAATGTTTATTTTTCCTTTCCTTAGGCAATAATTATTGTTTTCCCTGGATTCTCACATGCAGTATCCTGAGGCCATGACTTGATTTTAGGAGGAATATGCAGGGCCAAGCCTTGAGTTACTCTCATGAAAGATGATATAATTCAGTGAGTGATAGAGGCATGCTCAGAGTGCTCCCAATCCTGATACTCAGAAAACAGTGAACCCTGAAAATATGCTTGCAATGTTGATCAAAAATTTCTTGAGTAGTTTCCAAGATCAAGGTTACGCTAGGCATAACTAACGAAAACCAATGAAGATTTGGTTATGAAAATACTTTTTAGAATAATTTTCCCCACGCTTTCCCTTCCCCACCCATGCCTCCCCCAAATCTTGCTCTTTTTGTCTCGTTTTTAAGAAGAGGCAACTGCAGCAGATCTTCAGAATAGTTTCACTTATTAAGACATTTTCATTGGAAAGGAGACCTTTAAGACCCCTCACTCTTTCAAAACAGAGAGACTTTGATTTATATGAGCAGGGCTTCAGGATCGGCAAGTACTTTCAAATGATTAATTATGCATGCAGTTCATTTGACGCACCTTGTCTTTGCTGGTCTCAGAGGACGGAGTGCAACAGTCAAGGCAGGAGGGTTTCTTACGAATTAAGGTAGGAAATGCTTCCTTTGTGGACAAATAGTACATGTATTTTGGTTTAAGTATGTTCACACTTTCCTTTATGTCAGGTTTTGGTGCGGAGTAGAGTGAAATTACGACAGCGAGGCCGTTTAAAGGAGCAGTTATGGCGAAGAAGACAACGCACGGAGTGGTACAGCGCCATTTCCCTGCCAACTTACGAGGTAACAGTTAAATGCAAGTTTTCGTTGCAAAGCGTAAAGCTGTTCTGATATTGGGAGTCTCTTATGTCGTGAAATCGATGAGAGAAGGAAGCGGAACGAGGACGCGAAATCACAAGTTGCCGTCAGACCGCCATGTTTATTCTGACCTTTTAGTTTTGGAATGCCTAAAGAACGTTACTTTGACTTGCTGACTCTAGGTTCTCTAATCTTTTGATCTCTATGAAATATTTTCAAGTATATGTTATAGATACTCGGAAAATCCGGGAGAATATGAATTAAATCAAGAGGAGAAACGTTCTTATACTCCCTTTTCAACAATTCTTAGATGTCTACATGTACCTGGTGAATTTCTCTACACGTCAAAAGTTTCGGCATTATTGAATTAGGTATAATTCCCTGAAATTTTTAAACTTGAGACGGCAAAAGTTGCGGTCAGAGAGCTTAAAATTTATTTCACTTACTAATTGAAATAGTGCACGACATGCATTAACTTGGGTGTTATGCTCTTTGCCCTATGGAGCATAGATTTCCATTCTTTATCTCGTCCTGTCTTGGGCTAGCCTGTGGTCCAGGTTTTGCCCCAACTCTTCATCTCAGCCAGAACATCTCACCGTCAGGGTCAAGGTTCTATCAAACTTTTCACCTAGTCTTAAAGTCTTGCCAGCATTTGCCAGAAAACTTTTCATCCAGTCTCAAAGTCTTGCCATCCTTTGCCAACAAACTTTTCATCCAGTCTCAAAGTCTTGCCAGCCTTTGCCAGCCTTTGCCAGCCTTTGCCAGCCTTTGCCAGCCTTTGCCAGCCTTTGTCAGCCTTTGCCAGCAAACTTTTCATCCAGTCTTAAAGTCTTGCTGGCCTTTGCAATGGATGTTTGAGTCTATTTATATTGCATTCTATTTGTCTTTAGTCTCTTATTTTGAAGTTGGGATTTGTTGAAAAGGTAGCTTGGCAAGCTTAGAGTTATTTTTGAAAGAAATAAAAGACTGTGCTATTCCCGTTGTTTAAAGATATTGCAGTGTTAAAGTAAGTATACACGTGCTAGTATTCCAATATCAAATGTAAATAATAGTTTTGTAACTCTGGTTTCTCTAGGTTTCAATGTTAATAACACCTGTGATCCTCCAGAATTGTTGACATCATTTACAGTGGGCACTTAATTGGAATAATGCTTAACACAAAACAGATTGATTCAGTCAAGAGGTAAGTGCAAATGGAACTTCAGCCCATCTGTTTTGTAACCTCTGAGCAGGTATATGATACTTGCATGTACATATCAGGCCACTATAACTTATTTGGATTATACTTTTAACTCACATGTGCACTGCAGACACGGAATACAGGACATTTCACTCAAAAGAATTTTCGCACAAGTCTTTAAGTACAAGTTTTGGAACATTCGCACAATTCTTAGTGGTCATTTTGCACAACAATTATAAGTGAGAAACATCAATGTAAAAGGTATACTAATTGATACTGATAAGATATCTCACCTTCACATGTCATTTTCAATAAGATCCAACGGCAAGAATGTAGACATTTATTTACATAATAACTTCAACTAGATTGAAACGCTTGTGAACACGATCACTATTCTTACTTGAAGAAAGGAACAAATCTTTCTCTCTATGAAAATGTAAAGAACTCCTATTTGAAAGATTACTTCTTTTACTTTTCATTTGTTAAACGAAAAACCTTTTAGTTTTGACGGTACATCATCCACTACAAACAAAGGAACATGACGACCCAACGCCAAGGACGCCATGTTGATTTCGAAAGTAATTGTCACCAATCCTCCCTCCGCTAAAGTCAAAGTAAAAACCTGCAAACTGTTTCACTTTTTATTTAAAAGGAGAAAAGACCTATTTACAAAATTTCTGTGTAAATACATAAAATTCAAGTTCATGGCCATGTTACCTGACGAATCATGTAAATTTTAACTCGCTACTCAGTCAAGACTCATAGAAATTTAGCCCTTTCCTGCATTCATTTAAGCTATAGTACATCTAAATCACAACACTAATGCATGTGCCAACTTTCAATGTGAAGCACTCTCTGAATATTGAGTTATTAACGTTGAACTGTTTTTGCTGTACGTATTACCAGTATGCCTAATGTTCACGAGCATTTTGATTTAGTTGAAGTTATTACGTAAATAAATGTATACAATCTCGCCGTTGGATCATCTGAAGGTGAAATGCCTTATCAGTATCAATCAGTATACCTTTTATATTGATGTTTCTCACTTATGATTATTGTGCGAAATGACCACTAAGAATTGTGCGAACGGTCCAAAACTTGTGCTAAAAGACTTGTGCGAAAAGTCTTTTGTGTGAAATTACCAGTTACCCAGACAGATAGGTTTTATAATTATTGAGAGTGCAACCTTTTACAAGAACTGATAGCATGGATAGGAGTAGCTTGTAAACAAACAACTTATTTCATTGTGAAAAGAGTAGTTCTTCATGTATGCTGACCATGATGACATGTTTTTATCCAAACAGGTGATAAGCTTGGTATATAGTGTATTTTTCTTCAAGCAAAAGAAGACTGGTGGAAGGGAACTGCAAAACTTAACCAAGCATCAACAAGGATTATCATCATCATTTCAGTTGAGAAATTGTGAGTACAAAGTTTTTTTCCTACTTTTTTTAATAGTGCAGGAAAAAAAATGCGAGCTTTGCTTTTAGGCTTGGCTAAATCTATATATTAGAGTTGAACCCTGGTTGGAGAAAGGAAGAGTTTCTCAATTAATGTTTTTTAATACAAAGCTACAGCTGTAGGGGACGACAAAAATTCCAGCTTTCCCCAAATTTAAAATTTTATCGAGAGAGACCTTTGCATTTATGTCAGATGAATAATTCTTGAAATTGTTTTAAGCTCAAATGCTTTCTTTAGGAAGGGAAAATTTTCAATTTCAAATAGAAAAGCATAATGAACATTCAGTTTGAAACAAGAATGCAGATTCTTTTTGGAAGAATTCTTATTTCCTAACCCTCAACTGTAGAGACCTTTAGGCACTACATCTACTGCACTCTATAGATTCTGAGATGAAAAGTGTGAGCAGCCTCCCATAAGAGCAGAAAATCATTTAAAAAGAAGTGCAAATACTTGTAATTTGTATCAGTGACACTCTGTTAATGATTAAGGGAAAACGATTGTGCTGTGTCCTTATTCAAGACTAGAAGTTTCTGAGACTTGACATGTACTGACAATTGCTAAATTAAGGGCTCAAACAGGTTGAAGTTGAAATGAAAGCAAACCAGCTTGTCCTTCAGTTGAGCTTTGCCTAGGATTAGAAACCAGGAGCTCTGAGGAGCTAGCCCAAAATTGAGTTCATAGTAAATTTCAATCTAAGGTCTGTACAATGTTAAGTTGTCAAGTAATTTATAAAAACATGGCTACTACTAACATGAATTTAAAACATTTCTTAGATCTAGTAGCAGCATGAAATAATCAATTCTTGAAAGTTATTATCTTTTATTAGGAAGATGCAATCAATGTTCCAAAAGAAATGTGATTGAATCATGACAAGTAACTCTTATAATATATATTAATAAGTCATTTGGAACTCACTGTGACAAAATGTGAAGGCAGTTAGGAAGAACCTTTATTGAAACTTGGCTTGGTTCATTCTAACCTAAAATTAGTTCACATTTTCTACCAATAACACCAATGAAAAGGATCCTTTAAGGGGAGCTTGCTACAGAATTGTATTTCAATAAAATTTGGCCTCATATCCAGCTAATAAAAGGGGAATCCTTAGAAAAATCTTCTAATCTCTGATGGTCACATTTCATCACCAAAGAAGTGTTGATTTCTGTTAAAGATTTCACAAATTTCAGAAAATCAGGATGGTGATGATAGAGACATTCTCTCATCCTCATTTGGAAAATTGTAGCTCCACAATCATTATGACAAGAGTTAAAACAAAACAAAACAAAACAGAAATGAACAAAACACAGAAAAAGCTTTGAAAGTCTTCACAGATGGTGGCTTGAATTTCAACATACATACCGTATTTCTTCAACTATAAGCCAAGTGATTCTTTCAGTATTTGACACAAAGGTTTGGGAGATTTTTTCACAAGAAACGGGGTTCAGCTTGTAGCTAAGGATTTGGGATTCAAAAACAAGTGCAAATTTAATGTTAATGTGAAATGACCGTAAATTCCATGACTGCAGCACTCTTTACGTGGCACGTTTTAAAATTGTCATGACAACAACATATTTCTGACCACTAATCAGATTTTTTGCTTCCCACTCATTGAAAGACAATCTCACTCAATTTGGCAAAACCCTCCTCATTTCACATCACAAATGAAATATTTGGCCTCTCTGCTGTGAAAACCACTTCATCACTTGCTTATCTAGTTTGGGATACTTTGTAGTCAAATGGCCCATTTTGCATGTTTAGGAGACATCTGAAGCTCACCAGAAAAAATACCCACCTGGTCTCTTCTCTAGCGTCACACCATGGACTTGCTAAGTCATAAGCCATTGTTTTTTAAATGAAATTGCATTTGTAGAGTACATGTGTTTGGTCTCAATTAGAGAAAAACCATTTACCAAATTAAAAAGTTTCCTTTTTCATTTTTAAAAAAAAAAAATGTACTAAGAAAAGACAGGCATCCAAAGTCTGCATGCATACAGTGAAACTTGAACTCAGCTGATTAGAAGACCAAGTTTAGAAGACCAATAAGTTACTCCAAACAATTACCTTGTCTCAGCAAATCCTGCCTGCTCAATATCTCAGGATAAAAACATGAAGCTTGACCATAATTTTCACTTGTCCTTGGGTCTAATCATCATCTAGTCATCTCTAACTCACAAGCACAAATTTTCTTACCTTTAAGATTGAGCCGAGCCAAATCAAATCAAATCTCATCATAATCATTTCTGCATATTAACTTTGGAAACTGTGGCTAATACACAAAACTAATATTGACAATAGAAGAGAAAAAATGCAAATTATCAAGTAGGATTTCTATCTTCATTGGAATAACTCCTCTGGAGAAAAAAATGAATTTGATGGTTTTGCTGTAGTTTTACATGATTTGAACTTGATGCTTTCTTCTTTAAATTCTTCGCAATGTTCATGTTTGAATTTTGACTGTTTGTTTTCTGGTTTAATTTTTTTGCTTGTTTGACTTTTTTGTCATACTTGCCTGTGCAAGAAAAATGTTTTAATTCAGTCTTAAAAAGAGTTTTATTTTGATAAAGGGAGACCTGAAACATTGCAAGTTTTATGAGATGTAGAAATATTATTGAGTTTTCTGAGAATATTTGAACCTCTCACATTTGGATTTGATCGTTGGATGCTCTATCATGTCAGTATAGTAGGAGAGAACTCAGTGGTCAGGGTTATCATTTTACTCTTTTCTAATGTGACATTTGTTACACACAATGCTTAGATCGACATTGTCTAAAGCATCCTTTGTGGTGTTGAAAAGAATGATGAAAAATTTTCAAATTGTTTTTTAAATTACAAAAAGTTATGAAACTTTTCTAATGGCATAGAAGGTGGAAAAAGTGCTGATTTTTGAAGGATATTAAAACCTAAATGTTCATATGTAATTTCAAGGTCAGATGCTCTGCCAGCTGAGCAAAGAAGAGTTTAACCCACTGACGAGGTTGTCATGTACCACTGGCCCACAGACTTTTAAAGTGTATGGTTTTAGATGTAAACAGTAATTTTGTATATTTCCAACACAATGTCTTTATTAGGACTCCCCAGCCTAATTACAACAATAATTAAAAAAAAAAGACTAATAAAAAAAATAGTTCTGTTTCACACATATAGAAACTATCATAAACAAGTTTGAACTGCTACAGAAACTTACACAAAATGGGTTAAGGAAATTCTAGAAGCTGATCATTCCTTAAGCTGTATTTAAAAGTTGCCATGTTTGAAAGAATGAGCATTTTGGTCAGCAAAAATTGCAAAGTGATTGTTAACATTTTTCTTGAGTGTTAGACAAAGACAAATCATGATTGGCCCGAGAAGTTTAAAACCCAATAGCAACATCTTGACCTCTTGCAGTTCTGGTGTTGTGTAATTCAGCTTGAATATAGGGATATAAAGAAGCAGAGTAACTCACTAAGAGAATTACCACCTACATGCATAGCTATCACTTGTGTTTCTCATGCTCACATATAAAACAGTTTATCAAGCCTAGGGTAATTTTTTGTTTACTTTTGAGGTGAGCGTGAATCCTCTGCTGTTTTTTCCATCTTCTAGCTTTAGCTGATTCTTTGTAATAGGGTGTTCTTGGTGACTGAATAGAATTTATTTTCATATTTTTTATGATCTCACCATTTCCAATTTCAATTTTCGTAAATTCCCTTAATAAAATCTTTTTTCAAGGATATTTGTTTTACCCTAAACTTTACTTGATGCCATGTTAGAATTTAAGGCTCTGAATGGAAATGTTTGATTACTGTCTCATTATTGACTGTTTAGGTGAATACATTTTTGGAACAGTATGATTTATTCAGTTTAAGTTCTGTCTTGAACTATCCAAGCATAAATGTGTTTTTTTTTTAAACACCAATAGGTTCACTCAAGGTTATATTCTATTTGACAAGGCTGATTCTGCCCAAAGTAGTTTTTCAACTGTTTTTTCTTTCTCTAAGTAAACCTGTAATATTTGGTGGAGGCATTTAAAAGTCCAAAGTTTTGCTTTCTGGTTTACAAGTTGCAGTAGGACATGCATTTAGTGTGTAAGGTAATGAAATCTGAAAATAAATCACACTGAATTAAGAGGTACATTGAACGCTCAGTTGAAGATGTTATTCATAATATCTTCCATGTTTAAAATGATGTGCTTGTTAATTTATTATTAATTCACATTCTATGATTAAGAATTTGTACAACAAACATTTTGGAACGGTTTAGCGTGTTTTGTATTTTGAAGAGCAAGTTGGAGCAAGAACAAATTTGGTTTTTTTTACATCCATTTTTTTTGGTATAAATGCAAAAGTCCTGTCGTTTTCAGTTTCCCTGAAGTGCAATGAATGCTTTTCCTCATGTACATTTCACGTTTGTTAATTTTCCACTACTTTGGTGATGTGTTTTTTTTTTCGTCCTACGACGGCAATCGTTTGATTTAAGTTTGAAACCTTGATGAGCTTTTGACTTTTTTGTTTGGTTTTGTATGTAAATTTTAAAGAGTCAAACTTGTTTAATTTTAAGAGCTGTGAGAATCTTTTTTAAAGGAAAAATTTTTCCTCGGAAGAAAAATGTTCTCGGACTCTTAAAATTAAAAAAAATGTTTAGTTGTTTAAAACTAAGGAAAAAAAAAGATTAAAAGGAGAACGATCGAACGGGGCTCAAGGCCCCTGGAGTTGCTATTTAAATTAAATGACGGCTGGGGATACGGCCGTCATTTAATTTAACGAAGTGCACTACCACTAGACCACCTTGGCTTTTGGTAATTGAAGACGGCAAAATTGACCAAGAAATAGGTTCGCTTCTATTGTTAATGAAAACAATAGGCATTAGTTTTTCCCACCTAAGATTTGTACCATTTGTTTATTCATTTGGAATTCTTATTGTTTTCAGATAGCTGTGATAGACGGACAAGGAGAACTTCAGAAGATATGAACATTTAAAAACTTTTTTGTACTCGTTGTATCAGTTTTGAGGAAAACATGTGTAACAAAACCAAGTAAAAATAACCTATATGGTT